CCCCCCTTGCCGGGGCTGAGCGGAGTCCACGGCGGGGCGCTCGCTGCCTCCGCCCCTCCCCGCGGAGCTCGCGTCCGGCGCCGCCGCCTCCCCCAAGCCCCCGCGCGTTCGCAGGAGGCGAAGAGTGTCCTGGCCCCGCGCGCTTTCCGCTCTGCGCTCCCCGCCCGGGTCCCACCAGCCTGCTGCCACCTGACTTAGCCTCAGCTCTGGCGCGGGATTTGGAGACGCCTCACCACCCTAAATGCACACAGGTGTGTGTCGGGGCGGGGAAGGGTGACAACGCTTGACGAGCGCCCTGCATCGCTCCACTTTCCGTGTCCCGCGGGGCGCGCTCCCTGGCACCTACAGCTTGCGAGCCGCGTAAAGGAAAGCTTGCGGGTACATTCTCAGATCCGTGAAATAAATGTGACGGCAGGAAGTTAGCTTCCCACCCCCTCGGTCCCTCTAGGCCCCCAGCAGCTCGCTCCTTGCCCCCTCCCCCGTTTCTGCCGGCGTCCAGTGCCCTCGTCTGCCCCTGGCCAACGTTTCCAAACGCAAGGCCCTCGCAGCTGGACTGGAGTCCCCGAAATCCCCATCACCTGGGGATGAGACCTCGTGAGCTTCCCAGCCTTGTGAGGACCGGGGCTCATCACCGAGGGCATTATTGCTCCAGTGAGTCCCCGAGACCCGACCGCGCAGTCCTCGGGAGGAAAGGTGGACCGTGGGCACAAAATCTCGCCCGGGACCCAGGGCTGGCCGGCGTCCTGTACACCCCGCGCTCCCCTCCACCGCCCCTGGTCGCGGGCGCGGGGGAAAGTGGCAGCTCCCGAGCCCCGGAAGACCCGCGAGGGCCAGCTTGGGGCCGGGACGCACCTTGATCTGGTCGCTGTCGGACCAGTCGGACCAGTAATTGAGATCATCGTTGGCTCCGATTTCTTCTGCAAACAGTTGAGTGGAGACGAGAAAAACGACTGCCAAGGCCACGAGGATTTTCATGCTGGATTTCTGGAGAGAGCGGGGAGAAGAGATCGCGGAGAGAAAAACTGCATACATTGGGGGGGTGACTCCCTAAGAGTTGCGGCAGCACTGTGGATCCCACGACGGAACTAAGGGCTGAACGAACCAATATAAAAAGCCTGAGGGCTAAAGTCCCACCTGCACCCTTTAGGAAAGAGAATCACGCCCCAAAGCTTCTCAAATTCCCTGCTCCCTGGGTCCCATCTCCACCAGCCCCTAACCCACCAAGCAATCCACAGCTCCACGCCCAGAGGCTCTGCAGGTGGAAGACAAAGAGTGACACT